TTTTTTTCCTTTATACACTTGAATCTCTTTAATTTAGGGGTCCTACCATGGAAAATAAGCTTTCAATTGGTGGACTATTGCCATATCTTGTCTCTAAGCTGTAATCTTGGATATGCATGCCAACATGCCATTAACTGAATATGAAAAGGTTGCAGCCAGATGATTATGTGGAATTTCTTTTTATCTGTCATTGGAGTTGAAGTTTGTCGATATCCAAGGCATCTGGAAGACTGCAAATGTGCTCTTATTAGACTCTGGAAAACTAGCTCAAGAAGCCCTTTGGGTCCCAATTGCCAATGCTCTGATTGCCTTAGAAAAGTTAGAAATAGATATTAGAGATGGTTAAAAATTTACAACAATGCTAAACAGTAGCTTCTCTTTTTTTGGATTCTAGTTGAAGAGTTTATTATCTCAGAAAGTCCAAAACTCCATACACTTTATGATATATTTGGTTCAAGAAAAAGGAAAGGGATGGTTTTTTCAACTAATTAAATTGTAATATTTAAAGATGTTATAATTTAATTAGTTAAAAAACTCATTTCCTTTTTCAAACTAAACATACTTTTAACGTCAAAACATATGGCAATATATAATGAAGTCTATCCAAAATAAACCATAACAGCTGCGATGTTCCTCTGAATTCAGATTCCGAAGTTGTAAGACCAGTCAAGCCACTTTGATTACGACGCAACTTTGGGGCAGGGTGTACTCTGGAATCTGGATAATGCTGAGCTGAATTTCACCAGCTGGAAAACATGTGAGGCTTCTTCCGCGCAATGGACCTTAGGATTGGGGGTACATGTTAGTTATTGCACCATTTCACGAGGATTAGATTAGGACCACCACTGATCCAGATTGGATTTTGGGGGTGAGGCTTTGGACCTTCATCATAATCACACTGCGACAGGACCTATGGACCAGCGGAGAGATTCAGGCTCTCAGAGTCAGAGTGAAAGAAACTGACATCAATTTGGAAGTTAAACATTGCAAGAGTTTGCAGAATTGAAGGCAGTGCATCTGCATCATTTGGAGCTATGTCCTCCTCAGTCCCTCATGCCCCACTAGTTATCATGAGCCAAGCACCAATTTTGACCTGAAATTTGACTACCTTTTTCAAAGTAAAGTAGGGCAATTAAGTTTTTTTATCCTTGAGGGAAAAGAGAAGAAATTGAGAAGAAGAAAATGGGATATTTTAGTCATTTTGAGATAGGAATTGCCAAATGTCATAACGTTAAATTTAAGTCCTTTTGACCTTTGATCTCTTTGTTTGTTTGTTTTTTTTTTTTTTTTTTAATTGTGAGTGTGTTTTTAAGTTAATTTGTGTGTATCTCAAGATTAATATAAAATTAATTCTTACTTAATTCAATTAAAAACAAGTTATTTACATTTAAATTAAGAAATTCATGAAAATTAACTTTTTATTGATTTCTTTCAAGAATTAAATTCAGTTAATAAAATGTAAAATAACCTTTCTTACAAACTAAGTTACAATTCTTTAGATTGGCTCTTATAATCTCTAATTAGCTGATAAATTGGGTTTCTTTTTTTTTAATCTGTCGGAGTAACAAAACATGAGGAGCAGTGTAGGGGCCAATTGTAGTGCCACCCAACAGGACGCTTTTGGTTTATCTCAAATGGATCAAAAATTGCTCCATGTTTAGTGCTTGAGAAACATTGATTTGATTGAATGTATTTTCCTTTGACCTATTTTTATAATTCATCCTCTGTAGTTTATTGATTCCAAATTGTTCTATCAAAGTTAATGACATAGAAAGCTGCAGGCTTTTGTATGATGTATAGGTCCCCCTCTACAAAATATCAATTGGGTTTTGATTAATATTCAATATCATTCTGTACAACTAACACTTCACATGGCTCTTAATTTCTTACTGCCATATTTCCCATTTTACGCTTCTTTGTCTCCCTTAAGTTGATTGAGCATCACTTGCTTGCATCATTGCCACTTTTTTTTCTTTAAGAAAAAAAATGATCATACATGGACACATAACTTTTTTTTTTT